CGGATATTTATTGTGTTTGGACTTGGACCCTGGGAGTAATGGAATAACGCAACCTGGAATATGACGATCTGCCAAGAGGGCATGCCCCTGGGAAAGCTTTGTATTGAAAACTCATCTGTAAGCATTCCATATGAAGAAAATTCGGAAAATTCCACGTGGTCATCTCACTGGTTGGGGATGAACCTGTGATCAAATTATCAGTGTTCAGCGGTTTTATCCATTCGACCACTGTATGGCCTCGAGCCCTAGGTTACAAAGACATCCCAAGAGTCGTATCTGGTAAAACTACCGTACAGTTCCTAACTACAAATAACATTGACCATTGTAAAATCTCAATTCACAGTTCATAAATTCAAAGACTGACAACTTTAAATTACAGAAAGAACTAATAATAGTAACCACTTGTCATTTCTTTCAAAATGCCAAGTTATTAATCAATTTATAAGTGTTACAATAAGGACGGCCATGGGGATTAAGATAGTACTTAAGATACTGTTTCGAGGACCCGGGTTCAAAAAGTCTGAGTTGAGAGCCTAAATTTTTCACCGGTAGTTTTGTCCCAGATGTGATCGTCCTCGTCCCTCACTCTCGCTGCCCTCGTATGCACAATTGAGCTTGTGAACGAGAGCCAATTTGACATCTTGAATCGAGGCAAAAATCACTTTTTGCCATTTCTACTTCTAGAACAGTTGCCAACAGAGAATACTTCTAGTGCTGGCATTCTTGAATAAACTACAGTCGACCCCCGTATAAGATCATTGATTATTCCGTTTTATATGAATTCCATGTTGTACAAGTCACTTAAATTTTACAAATACATGAGCCGTTCACAGCCCGGTACACGTATTTGTAAAATCTAAGTGACTCGTACAACATGGAATTCATATAAAACGAAATAATCAATGATCTTATACGGGGATCGACTGTATTTACAACTTTAAAAAGTACATTTATGGGATTTCATTGTATATAGCTATTATAATTTAGTTTTTCTGCTTTTGAATATTTTGATCACTTGTTCTGCCACTAGAGGCAGTTGTCTTATTGCCTTGCTAGTTAAGCTGGTCCCGCACGAACCTGCAAGTCCAGTCAGTAAAGGTTTTCTTAATACATAAAGGGAACACACATACAGAGAGAATATATGTCTGAGGAATAATGCAAGGCAACGAACAGGCAACCTGCCAAAAGAAAATACTTACTTGGAGGACATTGTATGGATAATTGGCCCCGTTTAGGTATTAGATAAGTGGAACACTGCATGTGGCCAGTCCATTGGAGAGGTGCAAACTCTCAACAATGGTTTTAATGCTACAATACAAAACCCATGAAAATTTTTGAACCATTCATTGGTCTGTGCAGGCACAATACACAACATATTCTTGGGCATTAACATTGAGGTTTACTTAGGCACAAGCATCAGTCTGCAACCCAAATAAATTTTGACAAAATTTAAATAATTAAAAATTATGAATTTTATTATGTAAACATTACAATGATAAATACTGTATCAGGATCATGCAAAGATATTTATGGCCCTGGTACAAGAAATTAAGATTCCCTTATTTCAGATAAGAAAATATCAAATTGTGCACAATAAGTAAATCATGGGGACTGTGTCAAATATTTTCCTTATTGTATTTTCATTCTGTATTTCTTTGGCAACCAATGAGAAAAAAATTGGGAGTCTTAACAGGTTTAGTTGGCATCAGGGTTGTCAAAGCTCTAATGGGGACCATTAACCATTACTTTTTTAACAAATGAAATAAATAAAATGTTTATTAATAAAATAGTCTTAAGATTTCATTTTCTATTAATAAAAGTAACATTAATTCATAAGAATAGATGCCACTATAAGCTAAGACCCAGAGAAAAATTCCTAGTTTCCCCTCTTGATGGTCCTGGTTAGCATTCATCTTTACATGTTGGTATTATAACAATTATGTTTAAACACATTGGTAAAAATAATTTTTTCTGATTATATATGCAAGTTATTTTGAGCTCTGGTACATTGAAAGAGATTCTAGTGCTTAATACTTTGGGTTTGGAAAAAGTATGGCTATGAAGTTCATTCATAGTTTTATACTTACCAAATGTACCAATAGGATAGCAAGCAGAATATTTTATGAACATACACAATCAACAAAACATAGGAATGAGAACTGAAATCTCTTCATGAAACAGGATCATCACTATACATTAAGATTTTTATTTTACAAATATTATATAAATACAAAGAATTGAACATTTAATTATAAGCTGGAGTAATGGCAGCTTCTATCAAAAAGTATTCAATTAGCATTTTTACAAATATTCTTAAAATTTTTTAAAAGCATTCACAATATATAAATTTCTTTATTTATAAAAATACCATACAATTTGTTGCTATGTCAACAATTTCCATAAAAAGCTGTGATATGTCAAAGACAGATGGTGACATTCTGTATGAAAGATATGTGGATTTATCCTGTTTCGAGCATTGTTCTATTGTATTTTTTATACTTAAACACTAACCGTAACAATGACAAAAGAAAAATGAAAGTTCAAAGTCTTGCATCTTGAAAATGACAGAGATTATCAAATTATTGAATTTATTTGAAAATTTTAAGTTGAATTAGTAAATATAATACATTTCAAAGATAGCATTGAGAACCGAAAAACTATGCATATATTAATCACAATTTTAGTCATTGATAATTCTTCATGATATATAACAGAATGCAATTATTTATTGCTTCTGCCAATTAAATATACTATTCCACTGTTTTTCACTAAGCCATTTCTGATATTTCACAATAGATATTTGGCTTGGGTCTTATCATATAGCATCTTCACAATAAGTTATTCAATAAAACTTAAAAATTAATGCAGAAATATGAAAATATCTGCAAATCACAGCATCAATTGAATTTCTAAGTATGATCCAGGGCAATCAAAGCAATGAACTATCAATAACAACTGAGTAGCAACAGGTTTATAGTAGCCAAAGGACTGTGTATATATATTACCACTATATCTCTGCAACAAGCATGACATACGAGTACATACATACATAGCACAAACAGAACCTGTAACCTTTCAGTAATTGATTATTCTGCTAACACAATTCACATTGGATCAAATCCAAAAAATATAAAACAGTTAAACTAATTTGGATTGTTTGATATTATTGCTACAAAATTGCCAACAAACTGTCGTTTATGCAATATTATGGGTGTAACAACATTCATTTACAGCTATTTGTGATGGATATTTTGCATTAATATTTTAGTATTAAATATTTACAATTTCATCATTTAAACAAAATTTTAGTAAAACTCCTTGCACAGTTATAAATAATTGAGAAGAAAATTGCAACCATATAAGCTAGCCAAAATGTTTTACATTAATACTGTTATTCTCAATTTAAATCAATATTGTGTCACACAGATAAATTGATCAGATTTTTATGTAAAATAAAGGATTATTTCTGTAAAAATACCTACTTTAAAAGGCTATAATTTCAAACAAGATTCATTTTATTTACTTAATGCTCTGTCAAAATGCACAAGAAAATAAAATGCAATTTAATCTTGTTCTTGTTATTCAGTCATTGAAAACATACCCTACCTACAAAAGGAGGTAGCACTGAACACTTTAACACTAATAAAAAAATTGTTTATTTGTACTATTACTTAGAGCAACAAATGTACAAAATATGAGAAAACATACTGTTAATTATTTTTATTATTTACTGATTATAAATTCAGTTAAATAAGGCAGATGTTGCAGATCACCTGTTGGACTTTCAATCTAATTTTTGTGTTCTTCAGTATGATTTCATCCTCAAATTATTGCACCAGTTTACATCAAATTAGTTTTCTCATTCCAAAATTTGTGCAGGAACAGCTTAAGTACTGTATTTGCATATACACATTGTCCCATTGTCATCTTACATTAAATCTTTATACAGGAATTTGGTCACAAAAAAATAAAATTACAGAAATTCTGATTTATAATTTATCAATGAAATATTCTAAAATTTGGTTTGGATTTAATGTTATATTGAGTGATCAAATGAATGCACTTTCAAAAAGATATTTAGTGTTGCCAAACACACCATGTGCTATCAGAGTTGGCGATGCACCAACAGAGCAACACACAAAGCTGGCTCACAATAATACAAAGTCAGACTTGGCATGTCACCAAATTTCTTGTGCTGATTCCCACAAGTTCACTTTTATTTGATCACCTTGTGTAATAAAATTACTTAAAAACTATACATTCTTTGTCAAAACTGTATTGCATATATTGAATGTTCTTAGAACATTCCTCTAATTTATGAACAGACAGATCCATACCTAATACATACCTATTGAAATTTACAAAATTTGTATGAATAAATGACAATTGCAAAGTTATTTCAGTAATGCATATTTTCCTTGAATTTCAACTGACGAGTGCACCAATTTATAAGAAACTTTTCTTTATAACACACATCCAAAACTTTAATAAAATTTGCTCTATAAATATTTGATTAAGGCATTAACAAACTTAAAATTTTGAAGTTTAGCTGTGCATTAAACAAAAACTATTGAAAAATTTAAACAAATAACATATCACATCATTAAAAACAAACACCCTGAGGTTAACATTCACTCAATTATTGACTTCTAGATATAACAACCTTCAAGCAATGTTAACTATAATTATTGCAGATTGCACGAGTGAAGAAGTGATTTTCTGAAACAAAATTACTCTGAAGAACTAGGAAAGAATTCCAGTACAAATTCAGAGTATGCACAACCAGATAGTTCCATATTTATTTACTTTCTTGCACAACACCTTAACAATATAATCGACTTCTGACATACTCGATAATAAGCAATGCATAGAATCAATTTACTAAAGTGAATTTATAAAAATTCAAAGAAATCTGTGCGACACTTTGAGCAATAACAGTGCAGTTAATAAATTTTATTCAAAGTAAAGAACAATGGCATTCAACAGTGTTCAACATTTTCGTAAACTGTTATGTATACTCTCACTCTAAATCCAACCAGGATTTAGTTCAGTGGAAAGAATTACAATGATAAGTGCCAAATTAACATTTTATGACAACTACAAATCATTAAACAGGATCTTCCAAAAATGCTACCATTTTAAATTACTGTAATTATGTTAATATCTGAAAATGATTTAATATATTTCAAAACAAAAAAAAAACTCTCAAAGTTTCATATCTGTTTGTTACAATTCCTCAATAAGTGTACCTCACATCACATGACACACATCTAGCCGAAAGTCCATTTTTTCCCAGACTCTCTGCAACATATCCAATGTTAGTCCTCCCAAAGCATTCATAATTTGATTCCAAAGCTCCTGCAAAGTCCCGGGCAATGGTGTCCTTCACATAGTCCCACAATAAGAAACTGTAGGGTGTCGGGTCCAGGGACTTGGGGAGTCTGCAGAGCAACAGACTGTCATTGGGCCTATCCAGATATTCCTCAGCAGTGGATTGGATGACCAATCCACTGCCGAGGAAGCACACGATTCAGAGCTTTGAAAACCTCCCAAAAATATATCTGAATGCACACTATTGATGAAACTTTGAATTTTCTGTTTTGAAATATATTAACCTTTTAAACACAAAATCAGTCTTATCCATTAAAAATGAAAATGGCTGATTGAAAAGTTGTTACAATAGTTTTGCTATACAAGTTCCCCTTCTAGTCTGAAAGATAAAAACTAAAAACAATTGTCATTAGCAATAGAGATAGAGTGAGTTTTCAGAGTTTAGAGAGTTAAACCATTTTCAGGTAATAATTAACATAATTACAGTAATTTAAAATGATAGCATTCTTTTTGGAAGACCCTAAATATGCATAGTTCTTCAAACTATTATTTTATATGAGAGTTAATATCAAAACTAAATCTTGGTTCCATTAGTTATATAATTGTGCAATATTTATCCAATCTTTAACATAGTAAAGTTTCTAAGTTACTCCAGGTACTGAAATAGTCATTTGCATATAAAAAAAAGTTTGATTTTTGAAGACAAATGAGCATATTCATACACATTAAGTATAAAAACTGTTGGATTTTGTTTTAAAACCATTTTAAAATCTTACTTTTCTAACTAGAAATTTCTATTTATGAAAATATAAATTATTTTCTTGCTTTAAATTGAATATCAAATTTAAACTGAATTTTTAATGTATGTGCCATTGCATTAAAGGTGATGAGTGAAACAAATGATCAAATTCAAACAGAATATTCTGGATTATAAATTTTAATTCTACAAAAAAATAATATTTGATAATTAATCAAAACTTCTTGTCAAGTTAAAGAAACTTTTAAATACCTATCACAAAATCACTTATGGAAAATACTTCTCAAATTTCTCTATTATTTTTATACAAAATTAAGAAAATATTATGAAGTTTTTTTGATAAACTTTGACTGAAGTTTACCTTCTAAAAATTCTCTAACTATACCTGGAAGATTAGGATCTCGATGAATGTGTTTATGTCCGTAATCAAAATCATAATCGTAAGTAATAAAAATGGGTGGAGGTAGATTTTTAGGTCTTCCCTTTAGGGCTTTCTGATGCAATCTCTCGCCTAATTCAAAAGGAATTAAATTGTCGTCTTCTGCGTGGAGAATGAGTAGTGGTGTTGTGATGTCGATTATCTGTTTTTCACTATCAAAACCGGTTTCTTCATCCATCATGGGGTCGAGAAAAAGTTTGTCAAAGAATGGCATGTAACGATGAAATAATGTAAGAGGATAATACATGGCAGCATCCTTAGTACTAGTGAAAGGGGCTTCCAAAACCACTGCTGCAGGTTTATCTTCTGACTTGCAAAGTCTCGAAGCGAGTCGAACAGCAACCGCAGTTCCTAATGAATGACCCCATATATAAATCTGTGAATTTTTTTGATGTTGCTTTACCCAGTTAAACATCACTGCGGAGTCGTGTTCCAAACCCTTTACCGAAGGGGGATAGTTTGTAGAATCCGCAAAACCACGATAGTCAAAAGTTACGATGTGAACGTCTACTGTATCTGTTAAAAGTTTGTATAGTAAAACTCTGTGATTGGCACCTCTCGTTCCCGAATTCCCATGCAAATACAGAAATATGGGTCTTCCATCTGCAAACTCCTTACCTGCTTCCATCTCTCCTCCTTTACAAAATTTCAAAGCACTTTTAGAAGGCACATGCCATACTCCCATTTTTATTTTATTCTCCGATTCAACGTAGAAGTTGCGTGAACATCTCAATCCAAATTTTTGAGGTTCCGAAAGATTGTGAGGGAGGGGAAGCGAAACATAATTTAAAAAAATGGTATGTCTTCTGACCGTTGGACAACAATAATATATTGTCGGTATAACTATATATACAGTGAAAAACAATCCGCATAATACTTTTAATAATATCAAATACCACTTCTTCTTTGGTTCCTGCACATCTTGTGCTTCATTTCCAATTTGTTCGTTATCTGACTGCTCCTTACTGTGAATACGTTGCCGTAGCATTTTCTGAAATAATTAAAACAGAAAATTGTTAATGTAATTTGAATGATTAAATGATATCATAATATTGAAGTAGAGTGGTATTATGCTAGCTTCAGAAATTAAACTGCACAGTTCATATCTTTTCAGACTTTAGTTTGGTACTATGTGCTGAAAGTACTTGAAAATAATTTGTTTCATTCTACATTGGTTGACAGCTGTTGGAACTGGCAACATTGCAAATTTCAAAAGAAGTTTTAGATTTAATAAAAAAAGATAATCGTTTCACTGTAGGAACTGATTATTAAAAAGTAGAAGCTATATAATTCCATTTTTTCGTAATCAGCCAGCATAATTTGCAAAGCATAAGTAACAAAGAATGTGAAGTTTAGAAATTATCCAGACAGAAAAATTACATAAATAATATCAGAACATTAAAATAAAGCAGACACATTTTAATAACAATCATTGAGAACTCAAACCATGACTGAACTTATGGCTTCTCACACCCATAATAGATCTCTATAGAGCAGGGATGGTCAACAAGTAGACCGTGGCCGACCGCAAAGGTTTTGAAAATAGCCCGTGAATCTAAAGTTGAACAATTTGCTTTCACTTAAATTAATGTTTAAAAATTTTAATTTGATAATTTATTCTTACAATAATAGACTGTTTGTACAACGTACCCATACTGTTTGTATTTATCCCGATGAACAATGCAAACGAACGAATGTTAACGCATGCACATATAAACAACCTAAAATTGTTTGCCCATATTCGTAGTCGCCCGCAGACCATATTTTACCAAAAAAGTAGCCCCTAAGGGATAAAAGTTTGGCCACACCTGCTATAGAGGAAATAAGTATAATGGATATACAATAAACTACTTATTGTAAGCAGGGGTGCACAACCTGCGGCCCGCGGGCCACATACGGCCCCCTATCAATGTTTATGCGGCCCGCGGACGGTACAGGCCAAATCCTTTCTTTCGAAGTTTCTAAGTTTAGAACTTTTTCCCTTTCACAAAGTCATTAGCACCCAACTGTTTTATGACTTTCCCTGAGGTGAGAAATGGGGGATTGTTCTATAAATAAGTNGTTGTTTCAACATCTGCCATTACGCTAGACATCAAGAAGATTGCTGCCAGCATCCAATCTCAGCCATCGCATTAATCACTTGGAGGTCCGGCCCCCAGTCAGTAAACTTAATCCTAATTTGGCCCTTCTTCAGAAAAGGTTGTGCATCCCTGTTGTAAGCATGAATAATGTTGATAACAGTCATTATCTTTAATAGGCATTTTAAGCTGCCTTTGAATGCTATCAGCCCTAACACATCTGATAACCTTCAATAGTTATCAGCCTTAATATTGCTTTAAACTTTAAATGTTTCAACTATTGTTTGCTTGCATTATAATAATAAATATTGTGTTTTCTTCAATTATACACTGACTAAATTATTATTAACTAACTAATAATTAAAAAATATAAGATTTACTAATTGTTATAACATTTCTTTAACATCAGAAGTGCCACTAACTGCAGTATTATTTACTTACAGGTCAGTGATAATCATCACTGAGAGTGCTAAAGTGATTACATAAAAACAATTTTACATGTACATGCTATAATTGGTGACGTGCAATAGATGATCAGTTCATTTAAATCACATCTCTGTTCTTCCAAATAATGCCATTAAAACATAAAAATAAATATCAACAGCAACAAATATTTAAACTACACACTTTAACTTAAAGCAGAATAAAGATTTATGTGGAATCACTGATAGTTTTTTCTCCTGTGAATTTATCTATTCTTTACAAATATATGATTGTAAATAATAGAAAGGAAATAAATAATGAAAAATATTTCCTCAGACATTTTAGCATTCCCTCTTTATTAATTTCAATACAGTCGACCCCCCTGTAACACTGTTGATTATTCCGTTTTATATGAATTCCATGTTGTACGAGTCACTTAGATTTTACAAATACGTGAGCCGTTCACAGCCCAGCACACGTATTTGTAAAATCTAAGTGACTCGTACAACATGGAATTCATATAAAACGATTTAATCAACAGTGTTATGGGGGGGTCGACTGTATTTGAACTTTTATAAAATTAATAATATAAATCACCAAAATTTCTCACTTTTATACATTTTATGTAAATTTATTAACTTTTTCTACTTAAAAAATTAAAAATTAATGTTTCTACTTTTTAATTTGTGTGCATAAACCAAAATTTAAAATAAATTAATACATTAAATTAATGATAAATATTTACAAACAAAATTCTTTATAATCTAAGCAGGAAAATAATTTCGTAACAAGGAAATAATACATTATTACATAACATTTACATTAACAAAACTAGAAAAAAATTAATTTTTAATGCATAATAAAGTTAGTTTTAATATTAACAAATTATTTCCAGATTCATCATTAAAAATTTCTGAAAACAATTATTTTTATTTTAATAATTCTAAACACTCTTATTTGTAACAAAAGAACTTTAATTTATTTAGGAATCTGTCAGACTCCTGCAGATAAAGGATTTTTTATGCACAAAAATAAAAACAAGATTGCAAGTAAATAAAACTATGAAGCAATTAACAAAAATTCATCAGTAGCAAAAGTTTATTAGAAAAAATAAAAGCTTAAGTACAACTATACAAATTGCTAATTCAATAAGTCATTTTATATTCTAATAGAAAATAATTATCTGGACATCTACATGTTTGAATATTAACCTCTTATTCCATAAATTCAATAAGGTATGGCCCACTTTTGACAACAATGACATCCATGATCCTCTTAGATGTTTTCAAGATTCTAGTAATAAACTACCAATATTTTGGTTCATTCATCCTTTGGTAGAAAGTTGAGTGTCTCATACACCTTGAGAAGCTGGATATATGTAGGGCTTGTAAGAAAAATATGAAAATTATAAGGATAGCAACATCTTCCCTCAAAGTTTGGAGATCTCTATTCAAAGTCTAGCAATAAAAACTATATTCTGACAAAGTAACATTGATAATCAATCAGATGGCGTCTCTAAGTTTTAGTTATTTCATTTTTCCTGGTACCTGTATCACTCTTCTCTCAAAGTCACCAAGTTTTCTTCCTCATCCCATATTTCCAAGTAAATAAGTCTGTAACACCAACAAAGCTTTATAATTACCAGCAAAGAAAGTTTTTACTATACTTTGACAAGTGCTTTCAATTCTAATTGGGATCTGCTTCAGGTTAAAATATTCTATATAAAAATTTGGAATGCTCATTTCTTTGCTGGTAATTATAAAGGTTTGTTGGTTTTATTTACTATATAACCAGCTATAAGATTTAGAAATAAGTCTATGCACACCACTTGCATTATCCTATGCAAATATACATATTTTGACACACGATTGCATTGCTACATCCAACTAAGTGTTCCAAGAGATATCTGGATACTTATTTATAATTATGGTATGACTAAAACAGAGCATAAGAAATACTGACGTACAATGGTTGCGATATTTGAAATGAAACTAGTGAGATAAGAAAACTGAGAATGAAGAATGGGAAGAGGAAAAGAATAAATATGCAATCTCTAATAAATCAGACTTACAACATTAGTTGACATTATGAAAAGATTAAAAGAATGTGTCCATTCTATTTTCTGTTAGTTTCTTCTCAAACATTCAAACTTGAAACTATAGCAAATAAACTATAAATTTAAGGTATGGCAGTTCAGATGTTTTTAATAAATTTCAGAAAAAAAATGAATGTAAAAAATTTTAATAAACATTTTAGTTTTACCAATCAATTTGATTAACAATATAAAGTACAAAAGCTTGTGAAGCAAAGAAAAATACAGATTTCATCTACTTTTTCACAAACTGAAAAAGAATGGAAGGAGCTAATAAATAGTAAGTGCCATATACTGAACTAACTTGCTGCTGCTTTGTACTTAGTAAGAATGGAAAGAAGAAACCAGTTTTAAGATGAGTAGGTCATGACATAATAAACCAGCAATGATTTGCTCAACTTTCCTGGCAACATTTAAAATTTTGGTGGCACATCTGTTATCATATTTTATTAAAATAACTTTTTATATTTTTAACTATTATAAAATGGCAAAAACCTTAATTTTGAAAGCAGGGAGAGTTTTATAGAAAGTTTTAAATGCTAATAACCAGTAAAGTCGTCATTAAGTCCACCCTACTGGAGATATACACGACCCCCAATTAAATCCCATCCCTCGAACTTTAACTACCAAAATTTAATAGCATCGATCCCACTGATAAACAAACCTCCCTGCAAAATTTCCGAAATTTTTGACAAAAAGCACAGGAGTTATTAAGCTTCAAAGGCGAACAAAATTGTGCCCCCCATACAACCATCAATACATAAAGAAATTACCCCCAAATTTTTTCGCATTTGTCAACATTTCTAGGTGTCCTAAGTCCAAATACAGTATATACAAATCTTTGGGGGGTCATTTTTTGACTGATTGCCATACTTTTCCTCTGTTTTATATAACAACCAGGAAAGTAACAAGTAGAATGTATATTATCATGTGACCTTCCAAGTCTAAAGGTGTAAATAGATATATCTAACCTGACAATATTTTTTATCTTTTTGGTTAGTGTCAATTCTATTTTTTTTTTTTTTGAACAACAACAAATCAAAAACTTTCCAATGTTTAATAGTTGAAAAAGTTACTTCCAAAAAATGCTTGACTGCTTTTCTAAAGTTGATTTCTATCATCATATCTAAACTAATCTTATCCAAACTGCACAGTCTAATATTTCCTGCCATACTTCTTTATTGTAATTCATTCTGTTTCCACTTGGTTAACTTTTCAAGTATTTAAAATTTATCAACACAACAGACTGTGACAAATTTCTTAATGCTCTGTAATATTGCAAAATACACAATGAATAATGAAAATAAAGCTTGTTTTTCTAGGATTCACTACATTAACAGAATTTGTAATTTTGTCCAAAGGACCAATATCTAATTCTTGACTTCAGTTAAATTTCACTCTGTGCCACCCTTTGATTTAAAAATACAGTATATATCGTAATACAAAAGCATATGACTTGACTTTTTCTACTTAAAAAATTATTATTTCTACTTTTTAATTTATGTGCATAAATCAAAATTTAAAGTAAATTAATACATTAAATTAATGATAAATATTTACAAACAAAATTCTTTATAATCTAAGCAGGAAAATAATTTTGTAATAACAAAATAATAATATTGTTGTATATCATTTACATTACTGAAACTAAACGTATGACTTAAATTTTTTAAATTTGAAGAGAGTCTAGTAAATAGAAGATAATATATCATTATAATATAATAAAAAGCAGATAAAATATGCTTTGCTCTACCTACTTATAATATTTCTACAATCATAAATAACTTCTGCACTTCCCTTTATGCAGGTACACTTTAGTTATTACACTTCACAATAGAGTGCTTAGTTAAATTTAAAATAATAATTTTATACTTTCCTTGAATATACCACTTCTTCCTTTATTCCTTATAATTGATATTTTCAAGTATAAAACTATAAAAATAATGACGTAGTTGACAGTAAGGAATAAATGTTAAGCTAGAAAGTCGTAAAAAATCTAGAAAAATATCAAAATTTCCAGAATCTACAGAATTAATCGCAATGTGTTTTTCGTCCATTCTTATCTTTCGTACAGATATGGCATTAAAAAATATCAGTTATTAGATAGTAATTAAAAAGTCTCTATACATAATAAAGTAAATTTTTCCCTATATAGTCATTTAATAAGTCACAGAATATTTATGTGCCTAATATTTAACTGAAAGTGCACATAAATGTATATTAACACATCTGATAAACACACATCCAAGTACATCTCTAGAGGGATATTTTGTATGAAAGCACGATTCATCCTATACAACACACACACACAAACAAACGTAGTGAAACTTCATCCATATCATTAACTTTTGGCAAGAAAATTTCTTGCCACCTATTATAAAAAAAAAAAAAATTCATCTAAGAATGTCACAAAGTATCAATTACAGTAAATGCCTCTACCAAAATGGTTATTATTCAAAAGAAATTTGGTGTTTTGCATATTTTTTTAAATATCAAATAATTTCTCAATTAAACTATATCAAAAAATTTCCTTGACATTCTGCATTTTCCTCAACATATTAAATTTATCTTAAGTCTTTAAAACACTGTTCTATTATTCAATAGAACGGCTTTCTTACAGTATGCGTGTAAAGACATTTAACTTTTTTGAAGTCCATGACCTCATTGGGAAGTAAAATACGAATTCTCAAAATTATAAACTGTCAAAATAATTTTTAACATTTGGCACTTGGAGAATTTATGGTTCAATGGTGTTTTAAAAACCTAAATTAATGTTATGTAATTAATACATCATCTTGCAGTCAAGGTTACCTAGTCTAATAAATTGTCATGTTGTAAACAGCACGAATAGACCAAACCAATTGCACAATTACAAAAGAAAAGAATAACTTTCCCTTCTATATTGAAATTACGGACACTGGAACAAGATCAACTACTTCATTTATAAACAAGTAGAAGAAAAAAAAATCTCATAGTATTTCAAGCTTCCAAATCAATCAATGAAATAACAAAAAAAACTAAACATTTGATTCATTACTATTTCAGTTAATTTTGAAGTCATTCCAAGTTTGCATTATGTAAATCATTAATAAAAGAATTTAATATTAATCCCATAAGGGCTTCAAGTAAATCAAATGTTTAGGAACAGTTCATTAATAGAAGTTTAAGTAAAAATGTAATTAAAAATATAACAAAATGAAACATTAAAAGTTTATAGAAGGAAAAATACTTAGAAAAACAGGTATTTTTGTCCTTTTTATAACAACTTAACTCAAAGAAGCATAGAGTAAAATGGCATTTGTTCGTTTCCAAAGTTTGTTGACCTTTCTCCTCCCACAAAAATTTCTAATGCTGAATTTTATGAAGTCTTATCAACATCAACGTACAACTCTCAAATATAAGCACTGGGGAAGCTTAAAATTCTCACCTTTGACCCCTACACCATAACAGAATGATGATAAGAGCATTAAAAATCTTGTAAATGTAATTTTATGAATGTAAGTGTTATAAACGTTCATCCTTGAGTAAAATATATTTAAATTAACCCGTAAAAACGCACAAATAACCGGCAGCGTGGCTTCATCCATCGACGAAATTGACAACTTTTAACTTGTTTACATAATAAAATGCATACTTACAACTTTAACCGGCTAATTTCGGATGCAATACGTCACGGTCGACTGTCGAGATCGAACTACAAACGAGGAATATTTGGTAATATGTAGAATTGGCTCGGCACTCACCTTAAAAGATCTAGAAAATAAACACCCTTCCGAGTCAATGGCTTGTCTGGCGACCACGTGACATTCGCGGCGAGATGATGAAAAATGCCCCCTATCGTCGAAATCGTTATCGAAAATTACGTATGAGGATAATGTAACTATCGCGTGACATGTCCCTCTGATAAAAACAAAAGTAAAACAAATGAAAAATTATTTACTGTAAAGCTTTTAAAAGAAAACTAAATTACCGTTCAATTTCAAGGGCATTATTTTAATGTCCTTGAAATCGATTAAACTCTTTCCGCCCCGTGGGCACTAAGAGAACCTCTTTCCAGCCAGCCCATTACGGGTTCGCCAGGTCCAAAATGGGGCGGCCGGGTGGTGAGGGACGAGATAAAGTAATTGTGTGCTAGATCTCAATTCTTGAATCTTGAAGATAGAGTGAAACGCATCAGAGAGGCGCCAAGAAGACGGACTTAGTTATTTTGACAAATTCAATATCGCTTCGAAGTTTATTTGCAGAATTTACACGAATGAAAGACATCACAAATTTTTATATTAATTTAAATATTAAACCACTCCGGATTCGTATTACAACATAAGAATTTACGCAGTCTCTTTTGATGTTCTTCACTCGTGTAACGCGCATTAACATCCTCCGTTACGTCACAACGAAAGTTCAAAAGCCACTCGTGCAAACGCAAATCTACGCGATCGATTTCACCACTTGACACGTTATCCACATCGATAATCAGAACGTCGTCATCGTCTTCATCGTCGTCTATTATCGTCCTCCCCGGTTTCCTTCCCCGCTTCCGGTTCGCAACGATACACAAGATGGCGACTGTGGAAATTACGATACAGATACCAACTACAAATAAAATCAAAACTTTGCGTGTTTTATAATCATTGACGTTGCGCCGCGTTGGATTTCGAAGAATAATGTTATCTAGAGTTATTCTTTGACTCTGATTTTGATTTTCTCCTATTACTCTTTTAGGATCAAGCTGCGCTACCTGCCGATTGTACTCCATCATTGATTGTTCGTCCCCTACATTGTTTCCGATTATTGATTTAGTTATGAAGTAAATTTCACATTTACACGCGAACGAAAACTTTAAAAGCAGTACAACTTTTAAATAAAGCATTTTTACTTGTCTCGCGAACAATAGTTTTAAAGTATTGTTACAGTTTGATTCAATAAATATGCGTCGTGGTGCGTGATGCGTGAATTTTTTAATATTCTTGAACTAAACTCTATGCGATTGTAAATAGCTGTACAGTACTTGTAACGAATGACTCACGTCGTGCGATAGTTTTGCTTCATCTAATTTATTTCCTGTTTCGAAATAATAAATGTTACTTGTTATAGCCGAATTGCATCATCGTCATTTAATTATCATTATAACGCGATGCGAGAAGACTCGCGTAGCGCATAAATGATATCGCATTCTACCTTAACTGTTTTCACTCGTGATTAAAATTAATGTGTTGAAAAATGCATCATCGGTTACAAGTCGTCACTACGCGCGGCACCGAGAAGCGCGCTACGTCGCATCGCGCTCGAATATTGTAATATGGTTGACTCGCGAGTTCTGGTCTTTAATACATGCATTTTAACACATTTTCATACTAATAAAACTGAAAAATACGTCATTATTGTGTGGATATTCGAGCGCATCGTAATGCAATCAGGCGTGCTTGCAATCTGAAGGGAAACTTCACACCGAAATTATCACGTGACTGTTTTTAAGTTTTTCTCTTCGGAAATTTAACACTTAAAAAAGTTTTCTTAAATTCATCATTGATGCAAATTCTACACTAGTTTTTCTCGATTGGCAGCAACTTTTAGTTTCATTAATTACCACCAGAGTAATCAAAAATGTAGTGTTGCCACATGCGATATTATATTTAATTATATTTTTATTTATAATGACATTTCAAAAATTACATTTTTAAAATTATTGTAAATATTTACATATTTATTTGACTTAATTATGACTATTACAAATGTTTTCCAATATCTAACAGATGTTGATCGGCCATTTTGAAACATGCTAATATAGCACGGATGCCATTAAAGTAACTTGTTACAAAATTACGTCATCAGACTGGCGAATATAAAAAGTTATTTTTTTGTACACCTTCATTCTGATCAATATATAAGCACACTTTTCTAGAAAATCAAAATGACTGCATCAATCCATGGTACATAAGAAAATATAGCAGATCGTTAACGCGAAGAACTAATTTACACAATCGCCTTAAATAATAAACCAAAATGACAGAAGGTTCATAATATTAGAAAACAAATTCTATCACATTCTGTCAGACGCAATTATATTGGTTGGAAGCGGTCGTGGCGGCGATCGGAGTTAAAACGATCTCGGAGCCGACATCACACGCTGTATTTTTATCCTGTTGCGTATACGGCCCAAATTTCACAAGAAAAAAAAATAATAGAATTTATACAATTCAGCATACGGCACCGTAACGCCTAGTCCTATTTCTACCGGAGAAAGAAATGAAATTCGTTTGCACACCATCGTATTCGCGATTTCTGGAGGAGGATGGTCTGAGAGCATTCTTAAATTCTTCATAAATTCGTTCGAAAAACGTTCTTTCCACCATTTGTTCTACCTGAGTGAAGTCAAAATCTGCAACTTCCACTCTATATTTTCGTTGTTGCTGCTTGTAGTATGCAATAGCCGCCACCAACATGATAACTACTAGCACCACACAAATTATAGGAAGAATCGTGACTGAAAGCCCAGGGTCGTGAGATACTGAAAAAAAAAACAATAAATAAATAAATAGTCTAAGTTAAATTAAAACACACAACTTTTGTAAATTTTATAGATAAACTCACTGTCATAAACTGTAATCATCAACGTTTTACGCATCTGACTGACGTCGTTGGCTATGTATATAGAATAATAGTACTGATTGCAGCAGGGAAAGTAGTATGAGGCAGTAAACTGGCAGGCATCGTACATTATGGAGGCGTCACAAGTGAAGTTGCTTGGGGGTCGAGATGTAGAGGCATTGTTACAATAGCGGAAAGGAGAACTGAAAAATTTAGAAACATTCAAATTTATGTCATTTTTAATAATGTTGTCTAAAGGCGTGTTTTATAGTTAATGGAACACTTTGACTATATCTGAGGATTTAAGGAGAAAGTTGCTAAAAAGTATTACAAGATTCTTTTTGGTTCCTTTTCCTCTATGGACTCTAAATAAACTTTTCATGCCAACCACAGATCTGGTCAGATCCACACTTAATCAGATGGATGGTGAGGAATAGGATTAGATCACTCGTAAAGGTTTGAGATTCAAATCCACATCCTTATGTACCGTTGGCATATGCCAATTCAGTTATAATCAAAAGGTGACTCCTTCTGGAGACACAACAAGGCCCTTTAAGCAAGATTCACAATGAGGTAGCCAGATGGTAAGATTAACCACACACAAAAAATGTCTCAACTAACCACTCAAACCTGAATCCTGGAAGACCCTGGTTTCAATCTGGAAAAACTAAGCAACCAGAAAGATTTTGAAAGCACACTTTCCTAATAAGGGAAAAAAGTGAAATTACTCCACGCACGACGCTAGTATCGATGAGGTTGTAAACAGACAAAGCGATATGTTGTCGGTTGTTAAAACATATAGAATACCATTTGTTAATTCTTAAAATAATTTAAAATTTCAAAAATGCCAAGTACGTGGTGTTGTGTACCACATTGTTCTAATAGTGGTGGTCACAAGTTTCCAAAATATCCAGTATTGCAAAAGAAATGGATTCACGCTGTTAAAAGAGCAAATTGAAAACCAAGTTCATCTAGTCTCGTGTGTAAAAATCACTTCACAGCTGAGTTATAAGGAGGTTAATATCTTTGGTAAGCACATTATTTAAAGAATTATAACAACTGTACAATATTTTTTCAAGCTATAAGCAATTAAGAGGCTTAATTAATGACACTGCAAGCACCTCACTTGCAAAATACAGTAGAACCTCCATTATCCGGACCTCCATTATCCGGATTTTCGATTATCCGGATTGTTCAAAATAAACAAAAATTTTACGAAGTTGCTGATTTGCACTTGGCGAATTACGACACTATTTATGTACGTGATGGAATGCATAACTTTGTTTCAACAATGTCTCACCCAGCACAGTGGTCGTAAACTCTTAAATATATTTTGCATCATAATAAAAATATAACTTGACATACGTATTTATAAATAATTTATATTCAAATTTCCTCATTTCTATGACCAAGGGCGGAGTAAGGCATGGACGACGTGGGCCACCGCCTATGCCTCGCGCCTCGAAGGTTTATGCATTTCTTAAAAGCCGTGAACGCGACGAAAAAATTTTACTCGTCAAAAAACGATAAATAGTTTGTCAAATTTTTATTCATAAAAATGCAGTTTGAACTAATTTTATTTTATAAAATCCGTCTTCTTGCGCCACCAGAGGGCCTTTTAAACAATAGGTAGTCTGTCAGCGTTGGTCAGTAGTAGTCCAAATTCAATACGAACGTTTGTTTCTTAAAAGTTTGATCACGATTTAAATACAGTATTTAGTTTTAATATTACCGATATGTCATCGAAAAGAAAACGTGTTGTATTATCATTAAAAGACAAATTAAATTATTTGTTTCTATTATCCGGATTTTTCCATATCTGGACTACCTTCATCCCCAATTAGTCCGGATAATCGAGGTTCTACTGTATATAATAAGGTTATATATTATCTTGATTTTTTCTATGTTTACTTTTTGACTTTTTTACAGAAGTTTTTAAAAACCATACTTATAGTTACACTAGCGAAAAATCCAATTAGGAACGTTTAGTTTAATAGATATTAGTGTGAGATCTGAATAGCCCTGGGTCTAAATTTAATAATTATTTAATAATGTTAAATATTGTCATAAAATAATATTTCATTTTGGTGAGAAATTAACGTTTTCCAACGTGGGAAAGATAGATAACAGATGCTACTTCCTTCAAGGGAAGTTAGTACATCCTCTGTTTTTCCCTTATCCGCTAAAAATCTCGCTCAGATGGGAACTGTCTACCCCTCACCAGTGTTGCCGCAATGAAATTTCAAAACGTACTGAAGCGCCTTGAAAAATGTACTCTTTTTCTTCAAAATGTACTAGTTCTATGAATACTTTCTTTCTTTCTTTCTTTCTTTCCTTCTCTGATATGGAGATTCTGGCTGGTCACCTTTTCTCCGATGAACTCTTGTCCGCAATTTGTCAAATCGATGTGTGCGTGCTACGTAACGTTCGAGGACCTGCACGTGCTGTCTAGGTGAGAGGTCTGTTCTTGCCCAATATATGGGTGTTAAAGTCTGGATGGTTATGAGATCGATCTTCAGAGTACAAGAGAGTTCTTGTCGGGCTTCCGTATATCTTGGGCACGTCAACCAAAAATGTCTGGATGTCTCCTGAACNAATGATAAAAATGTAGACGTAGATTATTTTAACTTATTTTTCTGTTAAATTGGCTTTCCTACCAGTAACTTGGCATTGTATTTTTTTAATTGTACTGTTGCTAACCTTCCTAAATAATATTTTTGTTCTTTCATTATTTTAAAATTAGCTATCCTTTGAATGGGGCACCTTGTTTACAACCGCATCGATATGTGCGATACCTATGTCGTGTGATCACTTTTCCCCTATTTGTAAATATTAGAATGGGATAGCAAAATCCCATTCTAATATTTACAAGAAAAATTATTCCTCCTATTCTAATATTTTCAAGAATTATTCCTTCTAGACTCAATTCCAGACCAATCATTCTAATTCCTGCAAGTAACTCATAGCTAATCTGTGTTCTAATGGTTCATTTGAAGAGAGTGTAAGGACATGCATCAACATCTAAAGCCTGATAGTTATATATTAGAGAATCAATGATTGTCAGAACACAGCCCAATATAATCTTGCAGACTGTAAAGTTATGCTCCATTCACTATGGGTCATCTATCAATTTTAAATTACAATTATGATCTCATGTGACAGCTTTTTCTTTGCTTAAAATAACGAATAGCATCTTTTAAATTCATAAAATAACTTTAATACACTGCACATAGTTATAACCATTGCAATTCTTCTGGAAACCACCAAATACAAATATATGGATGATTTATTTTTAATTTTCTTTTGTTTTCTATACATCAATCCACATTTTAATTAATGTCATTAGACACACCTACTAAAACTTGTACTGAAAGCTGATATATTTCACTTAATTCCCTTCTTACTATATAGACACAATACTGGCCAAGTGGATAAAGCAACCAAAGTGATGGTTGCTTTCAGGTTTGTGCCTTATCAACAGGCTGTCCATGTGAAGTTTTCCAGAATTTATTTATGCATCTAATATCTGAATAGGAGCAAGTTTCCCATAAAAAGTCTTTCCAAGAAGCAACCCATGGGGCAGATCCCCACGTGTTGTATTACCTTATCTCCTCAATCCTAGAATCCTTTCTATATAATGATTCTCAGAGAAATATTTAGAAGATGACTGTCAATTTTAGCATAATTTAATCATCTGTAGTGAATAAAGAACTACGCAATCAACTCTCAAACTATGTTAGCAATCAATTTCACCAAGAGCTACTCCAAACTCCTCTCAACCCTAGATAGTTCTTCAAATGTTAAGTGTAATAGATACTATCTATATTAGAAATGTTTTTTTCAAGTTTATTTTATAATACGAGGCGTGTTTTTAAAGTAAGTACCGTTTTAATATAACGCCGCTGGAGCGCTGCAGTCGGCACTTAGCGCATGCGCGCTGTGTACCTACATCTGTTGGGAAGCCACAAACGCCATTACGGAGCCAGTCGACTGTGTTTACTGTTGTTTGTGTGTTATTGAAATGCCGCCGCTCATTGAGAATCCCGCAGACTGCGAAGTGCGTGCCGTTATTCGTTTTCTCAGTGCTAAAGGCTCGAAAGCGGCTGAAATTCATCGCCAAATCAGTGAAGTTTATGGTGAAAGCGTTATGAGTGAAGGAATGGTACAAAAATGGGTTAGGGCCTTTAGTAATGGCTGCACAAACATTCACGATGAGGAACGAAGTGGGCGACCTTCAGTCATTATCGACGATTTGATTGAAAAAGTGGACTGTAGAGTGAAAGAGAACAGACGATTCACGATTTCATCTTTATCTAAAGAGTTTCCTGCAGTTTCAAGAAGTGTTCTCTATGAAATTGTGACCGGACGATTAAATTATCGGAAGTTGTGTTCCCGTTGGGTGCCGAAAATGTTGACGGAGGAGCACAAAACCAAACGTTTGGCCAGTGCATTGACTTTTCTTGAGCGCTACAGTGACGAAGGAGATGATTTTTTAAGTCGTATTGTTACAGGCGATGAAACGTGGGTAGCCTACGTTACACCGGAATCAAAGCAACAATCCATGGAATGGCGACATTCATCATCTCCAAGGAAAGTCAAGTTCAAGCAAACAATTTCTGCTCAGAAAATCATGTGCACGGTGTTTTGGGACAGATACAGAGTGTTGCTTGTTGATTTTTTGCCTCATGGTGAAACGATCAATTCAGCTGCATACTGTGAGACTTTAAAAAAACTGCGCCGTGCAGTACAAAACAAAAGGCGGGGCTTACTGAGCAAGGGTGTCGTTTTGCTCCACGATAATGCTCGTCCACATACGGCAAATCAAACTCAAGACCTAATCACATCATTTGGCTGGGAACAATTAGACCACCCTCCATACAGTCCCGACCTAGCGCCGAGTGACTATCATTTGTTTCTGCATTTGAAGAAGCATCTGGCAGGGCAGCGCCATAACAATCACGACGAAGTCAAAACGACCGTTCTGCAGTGGTTGTCTCATCAGGCGGCAACATTCTTTGAGGATGGAATACAAAAGCTGGTCCCACGATACGATAAGTGTCTCAATATTAATGGGAATTATGTAGAAAAGTAGTGTAAAATATGGGCTTTCACATAAATAAAAATTTTGTTAAAAATGTTTGCTTGTTTTTTTTATATTTCAAAACGGTACTTACTTTAAAAACACGCCTCATATATTATTATTGTACATTTATGGTCAGTTGAACAGAAGATTAACTTTTCAAAATCATATTTAATCAGCCTTATTAACTATTTAGACATTACTCAATAATTATAATGCTAGTAAAATACAAACTTACGTAACCAAATTCCAGCATACATTGAATAGTTTGTAGAGAAAACAAATGTTTTCAGTGGACTTAAGGTGGCCATTACCAGAAGACGATTGACTTTCAAACGTAGAAGAACATTTAAAATGGAATTCTTTCTTATTTTGAAACTTGGAATACCACGTGTGCTGAAATTATTTAATGTTAAAGGTTGCATTCTGATTGGTCAGTTGTGATCATTGTGTTAATTGGTTGATTATGAGCCTGGCCTTTAGAAGAGATATTCTGAAGCTCAAATAAGGCAGGCACTCCAGCTTTGTGCCATGGAGTTGTCCTTGTAGTTAATGGCAGAGGTTGTACCTTTACATATTTCAATTTTTTATAGATGACAAATATGTCATTTTTCTGTTGATAGATGTAAAAAACTTGCCTGGTCTAGATGGGTGTGGGCATTCTTTTCTAATGCAAGGATGGTAAGAGCACTAGTGATTTGTCTTTTTTAAAAGGTAGTTAATTTAATTGTTCTTGGAATCATCACTATAATGATTTTTCTGGTGGACTTAATGTACTATAGACTTTTGTCTATTATATATGTTGACAGAAAAGTCACATATTTGACATCTGAAAAAAACTGAGATACATAAAGCTTCTAAGGATGGCTCCACCATCAACAACAAAAACAATAACTCTGGAGCAAGCCATTAGAATCTTATTTGAGCTCCAGAATACCACACAAACTCAAGCTCATAACAATCACAACTGACCAATCAGAATAAAACTTTAATGTTTAAACAATTCCAGTACATTTGATGTTTAAGTTTCAAAATAAGAAAGCATTCCATCTTAAATGTTTTACATTCAAAAGACGACCATAAATTAGCAATGGTGGCTTAAGTCCACCGAAAATGTTTGTTTTCTTTACAAATTATTCAATGTACACTGGATTTTCAATGTATAATTTTTGTTTATTACTTTATCCAGTTTTAGTCATGATTTTAAATGTAGGTACAAACTCTTGCTGTTTTTATCATTATAAAGTGAATTTTGACAACTAACATAATTACATATGTTTAAAACCATATTTTCTAGCATGACTTTTATAGCATGGGCCATCATCATGTGTGGGCAGTTGGAAAGACTTTCAACTGCTCATATCTGTAGATGGCCTATAAACCAGATCAAAAACATTATTATTATAGTTCACCCACTGTTAAGTTGCATTAATCAATTCAGTTGAATAACCTCAGTGGCTACTAACATTAAATCAACATTTTACTTAAAATACAGCAAGAATCCAAAATTCAGCACAAAACGTAAGAAATTTTAAGTAAAAAGCAAGCAAGTTACAGTCTCTAATTGGCATGCAATAATCAAATGATATTCAACTTCAGGGAAATTGCCAAGACTAATAACCTTATCTTAACCTACAGGAGAAGTCCCACAGTGTATACTTTGCTCAGAAAGAAGAATAATCTCACAATAGAAATAATGTTTCAAAAACTTATTCCATACTTGTAACAGTCAGTAGAAGAGGCAAACAACTACAATAGTCAGGCTACAACATGGCCATTATATCTTGCCTACAGGAACATATGACATAGATTAGGACAGGTCAGATAACCACAACTTAAACCATCTTTGTATCAGATGTACAAGCTCACCTGGACCAAGCAAGTCCAATATATTATTTGTGAGATTTTTCCAACATCAAGCACTTAGATCAACTAGAAATATATAAGGTATGCAAAGACTTAGCAATTAATTATAAGGATAACAACACATAAGCACAGGCCTGGAGAGCTTTATATGAAATTTAAAAAAATAGTGCCATAACATTGGTAACATCACCATAGACTCTGTCCAATCAAAAGGCATCTTTAAAATTAAAAAGTTCTATTCCACTTTCAAATGTTTGTAATCTGATGGTGGTTGTTTAAAACTACCAAAAACATCTGTTTCAAATTAAAATACCTTACTTTTTATTAACACTCAAAAACCTTAACAGTCCAGTACTAAATATTTAATAGAAAACAAATGTTTTTGACTGTACTTTCAGTCTTCTTCAAGTTTAAAAAACCAGTGAGATTTGAACAAGTGAATTCGAAAAACAAAAATTTCCAGTGTCTCCAGGTTTTAAAGGTGTTCCACACGGCGAGACATCCTGATCAGTTTGGCTTCCTGTAGGTCAGCTCTTATGCCAGGGTCAGTGGCATAAGTGGATAGAGCAGTGGTCTCACCATGTGGAACACCTTCAAAACCTGGAGACACTAGAAATTTTTGTACTTCGAATTCACTTGTTCGAATCTCACTGGTTTTTTTAAACTTGAAGAAGACCGAAAATACGGTCGAAAATGTTTGTTTTCTATTAAATATTTAGTACTGGACTGTTAAGGTTTTTGAGTGTTAATTTATATGCGTCCCAGTATTCGTGTACGAAGGTTTTTAATTTAACTTACTTTTTATACTGGATTTTGGGTTATTGTTTGATTTTAACTGTTGTTATCTGCTATTTTGTGAAACAGTAGTCAAGATTTTGCTCATTTTTATACATTATAATAGTGCCTTACGTTAACAACTTAAAAAATTTAATACAACATAATAAATAATCTTAAAATTTAGATTTCAAACTCATGGTACACCATAACATCTCAGTATAAAAAAATACAATAACAAAATATTTTTTTTTATCATAATATAACCTGAAATAATACTCTTTGATATAATCTATATTTTTAGTTTTTAAATATGCTGTAGAGAGTGCATCAAAAGTTGCAGCATGTAGCACTTCAAACATAGCTCCAAGCATGCCTCTACATTTGTGATGCAAAGGCTGGAAAGTTGGAAAATTGTCCAAAGACAGTCTAGTTGATAGTTAATTTATGTAAACAAAACCTTGCTTTCACAATAAAACCGATGTTATCAATATCATGTTACTTCAAACATTGTCCAATTACTTCTGAAACACTTTTGATTTTTAAAAAGTAATCTGAAAGAATTTACCTTGTCACACATAATGATACAATTAGTACATGAATATACAAATCAATGAAGAACCCAATTTAAAATGTAGGTATGAAAAAAAAATCACTTTAGAGCAAATGTAATACTGAAATAATCCATGATTGGGTAAGATTTAAATAGTTAGAAAACACTCACCTCCCATTACAAAAAATATTTAATTCCAAGAGATTTCCATGCTTAATCCACAAACTGCCAGTATAATTAATTCTTGGAATTGGCTCTATTTTAAACAAATATTTTCATTATTAAGAACAATAATTGAAATTTAGAACAAACTGAAAATTATTAATAGCTTGAAAAAGCTTACCTCTTAAAGTCAACAATTTATTAAATGTTCCCCATTTCTCACCGCTGAAACTAAGCATATTATCCTCTAGAACTGGTGTTTTAGCCACTACAAAGACAGAGATCGTCTGTTCTCCAGTTTTACTAAAGTTATAAAGGATACTTTTGTTATGCTCATCTATAAGTTTATCATTTACCATCCAATTGTAGTAAATAGAATCATGTGAAAAAAACTGGTTTGGATCATAAAGAGTAAATGTCAAGTTGAGAGGACTTCCAGTTGGAAAATAAACACTTTTGTCTATTTGGTTATTGTTGTAAACATTTAAGTTCCCATTAATATAAGCTGAAAAAACAAAATTCAAAATATTTAATTTAAAAAAATTATATAAATTACAAGTTATGCTAATAATTTACAAAAGATATGTAGCACTTAATATGTTCAAAATTTGTATCATGATTATAGAAGTTCAAATGAATCTTAAGTATCAACATGTTACTTTATCATCAGGGAATTAAATGTAAAAAATCTGTAAAAGAGTCCTCTTGAAGTATATCATGAAGACACATCAGGAACAATGGGTGCATGGCCCTCACTATTTCTTGCTTAGCAGAGTCATGTTGCCAACATCAGATATATTCCTAGAGCTAAATCCCCCAGCTAACCACTAAATTTAATTAACATTTAATATTACAGCCCAAAAACTTGGAAATATTTGATCATTTGGTATGCAAATTGTTGACCAAATTGGTCTGTACACTTGACTGTACTTTATTTACTATCTAAAGTTTATCAGACATGTAATAGGAATTCAAATGAGGGTTTAACTCCTTCTGTCCCTTGGGTATTAACAAGGTCATTTATTTTTTAGCAAGCCCATAATGTATCAGTCAGGTGAGGGATTTTGTTTCAATAAATTCTTAAATTAATTTCCTTATTTATCTATCACATATGAACAAATCTGTATATTAAGGACAAGATCATAACTGCAGAAACTAATTTCATCCATATTCAAGATAATTCTTTGGGCAATCTTTTGAAAAGGTGCCTAAAATGTCTCCATTGAATGTGATTTCTATAAAGTCATCAATGAAAAAGATGTCCTAACCTGCATTCACACATGTTGAGAATAATCACACCATTGGATAAAGACTACACGATCAAATATTGAGTTAAAATTATGTGAACATATTTTAATATAATATAGTTTTATAAATAAATATTGTTTGTTCAATGTTTTAAAATATTAATTTTCCAAACTGTGTTAAGTTGTGAAGTTGGATTGCTTCATTAAAATTTATCTGTCTAAAGCAGCATTTTGCAAATGATGATTCAAATCTTAGGATTCTACAAAGTCAAATTTGGGAGTTCCATTACCATTCAAGCACATGAATGAAACTGAATTTTCAAATTATATGGCAATGAAAACTAAATATGGATATCACCTAAATAATACACGTAATACAAAAATTCAACTTTCAAGTATTAAACTAAATAAAAGAATTAGAAAGAAAGACACAAAATATATTCTTATTGATAATTATAATATTAAATTAATTAATTTAAAATAAACTGGAAGAAAAAATTTGGCCCAAAGAGGGACTCGATCCCGCAACTCCCGCTTACTGTGTGGACGTGTTACCAGTTACGCTACCCAGACCTTCGGTCCAATCTCTCTCTTCCGGTATATATAAGCCTAACGTATAACCATCGATAGTTAATACAGTGCCAACTGGGAATACACTCATGCCCTTGGCCAGAAACATCCACTCAAGACACTCAGTCAGTCATCTCATGTAGATATACAAATATATATAAACATCAACCGAAACCCGATGCATAGCAAATAGACACCCACAATTGCTGTAAATAATTGGGCTATATTTTGGAAATAATAACTATGAGTTACAAATAAATTTGGCACTAGAGGGAGGCCTCTCTCTATTCAAATTTATAGCAAAATTCTAATTCTGCTGTCCAGAATTATATGTTTTCTTCTTGAACTTCTAGGTATAGGTTTAAACTTTAATAAAATCATCTGATAACTTATGTCTCAACAATGCAATTTCCTATATGATGTGGAATGTATCCCTATGTTCTATGGGACTCTATTGTATATTATTTGATGTCAGTATTTTGAGTTATTTTATTTCATCTTTCTTTCAACAAAAACATCAGAAAGTCATTTAACATGGCTGATAATTTTATTAATATGCACAAGAAAACAACACAATCTGGTATCATTCTTTTTCCTACCATTTATTTAAATTTTTGTAAGAAAAATGTCTCTTAAGAATCCTACAGTTTTTTAAATCATTTCAAAATTGTTCTATGACCTGATTAAACTGATCCACAGTGATGAGTTTCAACCAAATTAATTTCACTCTGATATTTTTATTGTCTAATGTTAAAAAAATATACTTAAATGTATAAATAAATCATGTGGAAGGAAAGTAAGCAAATTTGCTTGCTTAATTGCAAATTCTAAAAAATATTTATACAGTTGAATTCATATGAAAAATGAATTTAACTGTGTAAATATTTTTTAGCATTTATAATTATTATTCTGACTACTGCCCTGTTTTTTTGTTGAATGGACTAACTTTTTGCAACTGATTTCATGCTAACATGGCACAATTGCAATTATATTAATGTTTTATGTATTTGTGCAAATCATTTGCAACAGAATTTCTGTATCAAAAGATGAAAAAAATACAATGCCTCAGTCCAAAAATAATTAATCTCTTAGAAAAATGTACACCATATGCTATTTTAATTAAAACAGATACAGTAATACCCCGAACTTACACGATAGGCGGGACCGAGCAATAACCACGTAAGTCAAATTCGTGTAAGTCGGAGTATATTTTCGCAATTTGTGTAAAATCCAAGTTGGAGGTATGTACGCTAATAAATGTTCTCGTTAACCTTATCTCGCCTTTTGATTCATTCACGGTTACAAGAAATCACCACACAGAGTCTCTCAAGTATCCGTAGATATAACAAACACAGAAATAAATAACACAAAATAAATTGTAGCTATGCATCGATTCCGCGCGGCACATCCGAACATGTAACAATAGTGTGGGGGGAGTGAGTAATCAAAAGTTGCGTGGCGTTCAAACAAAAGACGAATCGACGAGATTTGAAAATTGCGTAACTCCGAGTTCGCGTAACTCGGGGTAGCATAAGTCGAGGTATTACTGTATTTAAAATGATCAAATAAAATGTATGCATTCTCACTCACTTGTCAAAGTAAACGTTGTACTTTTGGAACCTATTTCTACCCACAAAATGATCATAAAAACATATACTCTGACTTCCATCGTAAAATTTCCAGCAGAGTTTAAGAGACTGGAATATGACACATTATAGTTACAGATGATGTCTCTGACAGCGATTTCATTCCTTGTCTCCTGAGTAGTGTCATCGTGAAAATCATATCTGTACAAATAATAGTTCTTTGGGTCTTCATCCTTCAATTTCACAAAAAAGCTAATGGTGGAGTCTAAAACTGCAGGACTGTTACTTGTTATCTCTACTTTTGAATCATCTGAAATGATGAAAATAATATTAATTCATAAACATTAACACTTAAAAATAACACATTTTAATAAACTATAGCTTGATAACTATCAGGTATCTATATGCTGGATGTTTTCATTTTATACAGTATTTAATCTAGATTTAATCAATGAAATAATTTAGTGATATATGCATCTTATAATTAAAATTTTTATTTACATAATTCCTAAAATTATCTTAATCATTAAATACTAAATTTCTGTACGTATTTTAAGCCAGATTGCAACTTGCAAGAAAAAGGTAATAATGTAGCCTCTAAATCAGGGGTTCTCAACTGGGATCCATGTAACATTACTGGGGGTCCACAGAAAAAAAAATACCAAATTGGGGATTCACGGTGATATTTTAGTGGTCTATAGGGTAATTCTACTTCAGAAAAATCATTTTACTGAAAATTAAATTTCTACAGTATATACAGTATATTGTCAATTTATTTATTACTCATTTCTTGCATAAGGGTTAAAATATTGAATATGTAAATGACATATATATCCAATTGACAAAGATCAAAGAGAAATTATAAAACCAAGGTCTGTTAGAAGAATCTTATACATCAGCGTCATGTCACTTAATTAATAGTGACATTTCTGAGGTGGCCATGTGGCCGAGCGGTTAAAGTGGCAGCCTACCACTCTGGGGGGGGGGACCAGGGATCAAATCTGAATGGGTCGAAAAATCCCCAGGAATTTTTCGGGGGTGGTTGATCCGGATATGTTGGGCCCTATCCCTCACCACCCGGCTGCCCCATTGTGAGCCTGGCTGAATCCATAATAGGGCTGCTGAAAAGACACCCTCTTAGTGCCCACAGGCAGAGAGTTAAAAAAAAAAAAAAAAGTGACATTTCTGAATGTTTTGCGTCAGTTTGTTCCAGATCTTAAAGATTAGGGAGGGTATAAACTTTATAGCCTCCCTCCAGTATAAAGGTAATCAGTTTATTTTAACCCCAACCTTCAGTTCTGTGCAAAACTCCATCTCGACAAGATAAGAGATATTAAAAGTGCAAGTTCATAAATATAGTAGTTACTTTTTCCGAAATTTAGAGCTTCAGTGTTAAAATATTTTTCCAATTTGGAACAATGTAATGAAAAAAATATAAGGTTTTCTCCTGTGCAATGTATGGAAGAGTCCACAAAAAAATTAAGAGGTAAGGAGGGGTCCATGGGTAAAAAATGGTTGAGAACCCCTGCTCTAAATCAATGATTCCCAAAGTGGTCTATATCGACCCCTAGGGGTCGACTCCAAACTGCAAGGAGTCCATGTCAGCAAAAACAAATTGGGAATGCATGAGACATAAATTTCAGTCACAACCTGCTTAAATGGATACCATTTAAGCAGGTTGTGACTGAAATTTTGGCTTTCCATAAATGGAATATTTCACATAACACAGATAGTACCTATGTACTTACATAATACTTTCTTACAATAGACATAAATTACTTATGAAGTAAAAATTTTTAAAACAAATAAGATTTGGAGCTAGATTTGGAGAACTTTATGACTCCATGCTTTAATCACGGAAAAATTTGAGATTGATGATGGAATCATTCTTTGTCAACGGGTCAAACCAACAACTTAATTGCTTTGAATTTTAATTAAGCTAATTGTTAGAATATTCTCGAGTTAAATCAACCTATTTCATTTTACTTATAAAATTATTGTTGTACAGTAGAGCATTGATTATCCGAATCAATTGGAGACTCAGGTTGGTCGGATACCTGAAAAAATCGGATAACGAAAAAGAATGAAAAAGATATATTATTAGTATAGTATATTAGTATATCCCATGTAATTAGTGTATTAGTATATCGCTATTAACCTACTTCGTGTTGAATTTTCATCAATGTTAAGCATAACAAAATTTTTTTTAAAATAATAATCATCGCTATTGTATCGTTAAAAATTATTTTTAAATTATTTTATTGCTCACAAAACAAACAACCACTCGTAATTAGAAAATTAAGTCTCGTTTAAATACTGGCCTCCCTT